ATTTGAGTGTAAAGTATCTATAACATCTACCACTTCACTGAAGAATAAAAAATATTGCAGCCTAAAATTCTTCTCCTGGCTGTTGATGACTATAATTTTCCAGTAATTTAAAGAGAAGTCACTATTCCATACTGTATTTCTTTTATGGGCAACATAAAATAGTTAGTTTGTCAGTTTGAATAGAGTTTTAATATTCTCAGTGTACAACTTACCTGTAGGCTTGTAACAATTCATATTCCTTTGATTTGATTCAATTTCAATTATTGCCTTTCGATTTCGATTATTTCAATTCGATTATACAAAATATTAATGGTTTTTAATTCTAACAACATGATACACAATGTAAACAACAACACAAAATGGTACACGAATTGCAAATGTCTTTACTCATCAATCAAAAACGCACATTTTAAAGAGTTCAGGATTCTAATTTCACAATATAATAACTCACTGAGGGCATTCTGGGAAAGGTATGCAAATAATCGAACCAAAATCGAAACGTGGAATCAAAGAATCATGAATTGAACCGAATGGTCATAATCGCGATTAATCGAGAATTCAATTAATTGTTACACCACTACTTGCCTGATCAATAATTTGCATGACTTCCATTGCTTTCTGCAAAATGAATACAGGGATGTCAAATGAAAACGACCTTGCTGCAAAGCTTAACTTTATTGAGCTAGTTGTGCAACCTGAGTGGAGTGGCAGTTGGACTGAGCCTAAAGACAAATCTGTATTTTTTTCAGGGGACAGTGAAGCATCAGATAGCTTGGACAAGTGCTTAGAATGCATGCATGCTGAAGAAATCTGTGTCATACCATATAGAAGTGAATCATTTGACCAGGAAGTTTGTGTAGCCTCTGAGAGGGATCTCAAATGTGAGGTGGAACTCCTCTGCTTCTCTAAGGTATGTCAAGTAACGGTACTGTAAATCAACCAGTACAGTGCAAATTGGCGGAGGTGGAAGCGACAGAGCTTTGCTCCTTTAGTAACATTTTGTTTTTAGGCCCCTAGAGGAAGTAAAATCTGTGATCTGACAGATTTTCATTTTCTTAGGTTGGCATTTTTGAAGTCAGTTTGCACTTATGTTATTCTTTTTTTTTTCTTTTTATAACTTTGTTTAGACAAAGAACAATAGCACTAAGTGCTGTCAACTTGTTAACTGTAAGAAAGGAGCAAACTTGAGTCTGCCAATTTTCAAATTGATTTGCAGACTTACTGTCCACAAATTATAACTGTATCATTTTACGTTGAGTCATATTTAAAATTACATTTCATCTGTGTACGATAACATACAGTGCGGGCTTGTACTTTTTATCCATTTGTTACATATGTTCACGTTATTTGTAACTTACTTACTGTAACTCTTTGGAAGCACAATGCACTTGTGGTATTGTATTTTTTGTTTCTGTGTTCTTGTTGTTAATAATTATTGTGAAATATATATTTTGTAGATCGATTGTTAAAAAATGTAAAAAGTGCAAAGCAAGTCCTTTTGTCTTGCAGGCCAAAGACTCCTGGGAAACTACTCCAGAGGAGAAGATGTCCTTAGCTTTACACCATAAAGCCAAAGGGACAGACTGTTTTAAGGTTGAAAATCCATTGAGGTTGAATTTTAATTGGCATACATGTATATACATATCCCCAGCAACACATACATGTATTGCTACATGTATCTTTATATGTACGTTTGAAACAGAACCTTAAGAGTCCATTCAACTATTAATTACAGTAATGTGTTGAATTTGGTGTAGAACCTGACCGTGCAACAATTACCACACATAGCTGACTAGATTACAGTATTGTTTACACCATTATGGACTGGTGCTTGCTGCTGGTGAACAAAATAAGCATTTTTTATTGCATTTTTTTTCGCCGATTGGAGAAGAAGCTATTTAAAATGGCTTCTTTTTCTATCAGCCAAAATAATGTATTACATAACAAAACCTGAAGAGTCCATGCAAGGGTTAATTACAGTAATAAGTTGAATTTGGTGTAGAACCTGTACAACAATTATAACACTTGGTGTTGTAATACTAGATGCATGTAGAATGTGTGAACCACTTGGAATAATTAAGTTATGAATGCGTGCAGAATGTGTGAACTGCTAGGGATATTTAAGCTATTAATTATTATTCAATCTCAGTGGAGTTTAACCGTTGTTCGGTTTAAATGTAAACTTAGCACTAATCGTGTCGTGTTTGAGAAGTAATAAAAACTAGAGAGTCAAAGAGCATGAGGAAACTCTTGGCCCACTAGATTACGGTATTGTTTACACCGTTATGGACTGGTGCTTGCTGCTCATAAACAAGCACATTTTTTATTTAATCATTATTTTGGCTGACAGGAATATAAGCTATTTAAAATAGCTTCTTTTACTACCAGCCAAAACAATGTTTATAAGAGTAACTTGTTCAGAGACTAACAGTCTCAGCGACCTGCATAGGACTGAAGGATCTTTTTATAATTTGAAATGATATGTTTAGCTGCAAAAAGAACAAGTTTTGAAGGGAATCCATTAATGTACTGCATAAACGTAGTATGCATAACATAGTATGCTACAAGAAGACCTTGGATGGTAAAGTTAATTAATAGATAGACAATGATACATGTAGTTTCAAAAACTTTAAATTTGTATTTCTCAGAGTTAAGCCAGGGTGTTCCTTTTTAATGTTTTTATTATCACTATCATTATCACTATCACTATCGCTATCATTATCATTATCATTATCATTATCATTATCATTATCATCATTATTTTTTTTTTTTTTTAATTTTGTTCCTGAGACTACATTGTATAACTGTAACTGTTATGACTTCTAACTTGAAACAAGTATATACAGAGAGATGGGAACACTATAGTGCAACGAAATACTAACTGCTGATTTACAACTGCTGTATATAGCGAAATAACTGTAGCCAAGACAAAGGAATATTACATGTAATGAGATCCATTCACACAGGGCTTATACATGTAGACGAAGACACTGCTGTAAAAATTCAATGCAGGAGGGTTTTTTTGCTTCAAAATCAATTGAAAAAGCTACTGTACCTGCAGTCTTTCCACAGCAACATTAAACCCAATCACTATACTGTAATGTAAATTATACTTGTGATTTTCCATTTATGCTTACAGTCTGGCAAATGGGTCTGTGCTGCAAGACGTTATAGCCAAGCTCTGAAACAGTTGATCTTAATTGGTGATGCCATCTCTGAAGAACAGAAGGAAAAGCAAGATGAGCTCAGGGCCTCTTGTCTCCTTAATTTATCTGCATGTCAGGGGAAGCTTGGACAATATGAATTTGTTGCGGCAAACTGCACAAAGGTTAGGGAGGAAACCATGTGTACTATAACTCTAGTAATCATAACATTTTTATTACTTAAGTTCCAGTTTGTACTCACATACAAAATCATTAAAGGAAAACCACGGGACATTCAATTTTGTCTCTTGAAAAGTCTTCCATGTAGATACATGTAGGTTGGTTGTACATGTAACTTTATTTAAACATGGCATCAGTCTATTTTAATACTACAGGTTAACAGAACCATGTACAGTGTATCAGTAATTTACAGCTAAATACATGTAACCTTCATTACAACATATTCATGAAATTTGTAAAAAAAACTACATGAATTAAGTTTAAAAAGTAACTAATATAGATGTATATTCAGCAACCAAGGAATTTTCCCCAGTCAGTTCAGTTTCCATATCTCTTTCCTTTTTAATATTAAGTTCTTTATCCCTAATAATAGCAATTTTTTTATTTAGATATTCTTTCTTTTGTTGTTATTTTTTTAATGTGTAGGTTCTCGCAATNATATACCTAAGTATTCCCAATTTGAAGAGGAGAGCTTTATCCTGCAGTAGATGACATAAGTTAATACAATCATTAGTTTTGTTAGTTGGTAGTATCCCGTTAAGAGTCTTAGCGCGCCGGCAAATAACGATTAAAATACACAGCAATGCTTAAGGTTACTCTTTAAAATTTAAAGAGTTAAGTCTCCCAAACAACAATAATTATTTTCAGTACGTGTAAGTGGGAGCCGAATAAGATAAAGCAAGTTATACTAATGGTGGCAAATCAGACCCTAACCCTAAAACCAAACCCTAACTCTAATCACCAAGGGTGTTGGCTTTCTTTTCACTGCTTCTAAGGACCATACTTTGTGAAAGAAGAGATAAATTGTACGGTCTAACAGTTTACGCTCTGTCAGTATCAGACTTTCATCTCGTTCTGTATACCGGTACATGTTATAAATGTTATAAATATTGTAACCCGGCTGTTTTTCCTGTCCCTAATCTTGTCATCTTTCTTTGCAGGCGTTTGTCGTCTTGAATGAATTCGAGAAGGCAAGGGCGGATTTAGAGAAGGTAAATCTCGAGATATTTCTCAAACGTTTGTCATTTTATAACTGCAACATTACAATGCCACACCCCAGCGTATGGATGGGAGCATGCCGCCATTAGAGTATATAAATGTGGGAAGTACAATTCTATTTGGCTAAGAGGCTAGCAACTTAGGTTAAATCAGTTTACAACCACAATGGATTACATAGGCCCTATTAGAAAAGCGGGAAGTGGACTGAGATTGGACGTGGGAAAGCAAATTAAGTTACAAAAGTTTAATATGAGCGAAAAGAAAGTAGTAGCAGCTCTGCCTTAAAAAAATACCGCATTTACGTTCACCTTCATCATTTCTGACTTTGCGCGAATTGCCGTCCTTCACCAAATTAGGCAATGTTACACGAGAAACCGGACTATTAATTTTTTTTTTTCTTGTTTATCTGTAACCATTCATTTTTTACTGGTTTTGTTCCAGGCTTTAACTATTGACCCTACCAACAGAGCAGTGCAAAATCAACTCAGAATTCTAAAAGAGAAGGAAAGAAAACACGATGAACATTTATCAAGAGCGCTTGGTGCCATGTTTGGACGTAAAGTTTAATTTACCGTCATGAAGAATGTCAGAGCAACTCTGAAAGATTTTGGGCTCGTTGAACACTCGAGAAAACACACTGCAACGACTGGAAGATGTAACATTGTGACAATAGTAATAAACGTATCTTCACTTCATTACAATCCTTTCGTTCTTTTTATGTACCCTCACTGCTGGAATACATGTAGTCACGAAATTATGCCGCTGCATTGTCAAGTGTTTCTAGGGCAATGTGGTTTGCGCCGGTTTCGCTACCTGTTAAGTTCGCTAGGTTCAAGTTCGCCACATGTTCGCTACCTCAGCTAACCGAGTTTGGCACGGCAGTGGATGAAAGAACGAGGAATAATCTATATGTGCGTGAAGGCATTGGTCTATATATTTAGTTTTAGTTTTATCGATAGTAGAAAATGTGAATTGAATAGCTAGCGAACTGGAAGTTTTGGGTAGCGAACATGTAGCGAACTCGACAGGTACATGTAGCGACCTCCTTACAACCTGCCTTGCGGTTTTGCGTTTTTACCCTGTTGCGCGACTTGCGTCTAAATACTTGCGATGAAATGCAGGAATCGATCCGAGTACACTGGCAATGTCGTGTTCGTTCTTGTATTGAGCTATAAGCTGCTTCGGGGAAACCGTTTCGGGAAGTACCGCCATTGGAATGGTAACAAATTTTCACCCACCCTCCTCTCCTTGGGCGACGTCCGCGATGCTTCACTTCTAGAATGTACACCCCATATGGCCCAGGAAAAATTATTAATTCTCCCGTAACTTATTTATGCCAAGGCTATGAGTGGCTTTCGTAGCCACCTACTAATCACCACCGGCTCAGGTCCCTACCGAAAGCCCCCGGCTTGAAGCCATTTCCCCGATTTTGTTGAATGCCTGTCCCCTTCAAAGTGTTAAGTAACGGTGGTCAAACACTGTCTTGAGTCTTGAATGTTTGATATATCTTCGCAATCGGAACTACACCTAAAGAGAAAATGGAGAAATAAAATCGTAAAAATCTATGCTAATTAAGATCAGAAATCCAAACACCGTCACGGTCAAGTATGTACTCCGAACTCTTTCGAAACTGCGGCAAAGCGCACGGCTTCACAGCGTGAAAGATGAAGGGTCATAACGCCCTCCTCAAAAATATAATAAAGCCCATAACAACTAATTTTGCAAACGTGGTACGCATAGCCTGCAGGCAGGCGTTTTTCACAACGGCGATACAAGAGAGTGACAAGAGAGGAGAGAGGAAAATTCCTACCGTTTGCCACCAGTTGTCACCAGGTCCTACGCGCTTGTGAGGGATCGTATGGAACAGTGGGAAATGTACAGGCGCCCGCGACCTTACAGCAGCTTTCCCCCTACAATTCTCTCTCTCTCTCTTTCTCTCCCTCTACTCGCGAAGTGAAGCAAAATGAGGTTTGTGGTCGTGCAATCTAGCGTTTTCTTACTGCTTTTTTTGCCATCCACCGATAAGACGTAATAAAATGAAGTGATTCGGTTGTGGTGATTACAAAATATGAAAAATTTAGTCACACCTCTCGCTCAAAACTCAAATGAAAACAATTTTCGACAGCGGGATCAGCGAACACGTACTAGTCAGTTATTACAAATCCATCTTCTCTCGTAATAGTAAAAAATATTGAACCTAGTTGTATACTACCAAGATGGCCAGGGTCTTAATCCTGCAGCGATACGACGGGTTGTGTCCAGTCTATTTCTGTTCTTTCTTCATCTAGAAAACGTTTTCATTTGATATGAAGTTGGAATACATGTAGCCTTCGCTTTTCCATTTTCCTTCGGTCAAACAAATCCTTAAATACCATTACCATTTAAACTAGGAGTGTTAGATCGCTTTATTTCAGTATTTGTTTATATGTTGATGTTCTTAAATCCTCCGTAATTTCTGTGATTTCAAGTGAGAATGAGGTGCACTTGTGTGTAGAAAATCTATTGTCAAATTGCCAAACTGAAATCGAATAAATGTAAAGGTAGCTATCGTAATGATTCGATTTCGCGCCCGGAGCGCTTATTTACTTTTGTCACCTCGAGGGAGGACGCTTATTTGAGACAGGCACTTATTCGGGACAGGGCCCTTATTTCTTTTTTGAGGAACAACCAAATATTCAAAACAAAACTTGGAGAAGAGATCATTCAATTAAAGGAATTATGCACTCACACGGACATAACAGTTGAGAAACTCAGATGAACAACACTGTATTTGTAATGCCGCATTGCGTATGGGAGCAGTTAAGGAAGATGAACCTCCATTGATACATGCTCTGATGGTGCAGTAACATTTTAATATTAGAATAGGGGCACTTATTGGAATAGGGGTGCTTATTAATAAAAACACATTTGAAGGGGGCACTTATTCGAAAGGGGGCGCTTATATTTGGAAGGAGGGCGCTAAATTGAATCATTACAGTATCTCTCTTCTAGTTCCAGGATTCATCTTAGTTGTGAGTTGTGTACATTTGGCACATGAGTCACCCTGATTATCTTTGAGAATACATATTGAGAATAATCCAATTATCTTTTCTTATGTATTCTCTATTGCCTCATCAGTAAGCTCCACCGTGATACCCTTTTTGAATGCTGTAGTGCTGTCCTGCAAGGAGCCAAGGACAAGAAAAGAAAGTTTGTGGAGACCATTGAGCTCCAAATCAGCTTGAAAAATTACGATCCTCAGAAGGACAAGCGTTTCAGTGGTACTGTGAAGCTGAAGAACATTCCTCGTCCCAAGCTCAAGGTCTGTATTCTTGGTGATGCCTCACACTGTGATGAGGCTAAGGCAAATGACATCCCTTGCATGGATGCTGAAGCTCTGAAAAAGCTGAACAAGAACAAGAAACTTGTGAAAAAGCTTGGTGAGTCTTATCAAGTTATTCTTCAAAGGGTTACTTGTACACCGTTCTGTGTTTTTGTCAGATGTCTTCAGTGGTGGTTTTATTTGCATTTGTGCTTATGTTGTATTGTGTGATATTTTTTGGTTGAATTGCAGGTTAGTTTAAATATTCATGTTCTGCGGAAGACACTAGTTCCAAAATATTTCAGATAGTGATAAATGATTTTCATTACATGTACAGTGTTATTGGGAAAGCCACATTCATTTGTTTGCAAAACCAAGCTCCAATTTATAGAAAAATGTAGAAACCCCATTAATTTCTGTTTATTTTTTTCCCCCTGGTAACCAATAGAGCACTTTGATGCTGCCATGCAATATCAGCAATTTTTCATATTTTTCATTGTAGAAATACAATAAAACCACCTTCATACTTTTGTAGATCATGTAACATATCAAATTTAGTAAATATGTGAAGTTTCAAAAGAATCTGTTGCAAATGCATGGAAATATAAAAGGCCAAACTTGCCAATATTTAAAAAGAAATGTATGTCAGAGGGCAAGCGCTTGCCCCCTGGCATACATTTCTTTGTAGAAATTGGCAAGCTTGGGTTCTCATATTTCTTTGCATTTGCAACAGAATCTTATGAAACTTAGCGTACACTGTATTTATTAAATTTTGCATGAAAAATATCGGAAAAGCATAAAGTGGTCCATAATATGGCCCACAGATAGGACCTGTGAAAAGGTCTTTTAGGTGCTGACATGCCACTGCACTCAATGTTCTTGCCTGTGTTCCTACATGTTTATGCCAGAATTATTAAAGGCAAGTTCAGCCATATGCCTGAAGAGAAAAAAAACAACAACAACAACTTACATTCAACATTCATTTCCTTTTTCACCAAGTTCTACAAGTCTATTGCAAACAATTTGTTCAATTGTCACTGATATGATGGGTGAATATATGTACATGTTACCTTTCAGCCAAGAAGTATGATGCTTTCCTGGCCTCTGAGAGTCTTATCCGGCAGATTCCCCGTATCCTGGGTCCTGGTCTAAACAAGGCTGGCAAGTTTCCCACCGCATTGACACACAATGACAACATGGTGCAGAAAATCGAGGAAGTGCGCTCCACAATCAAGTTTCAAATGAAGAAGGTAGGATGCTCACCAGAAATAAGGCACAGTGCTCATTGCAACTAAATTAGAAAAAAAAAAATGTTTCATTAGCAAGTTGCAACTGGAAGGATTAGTTTGTTTTGCCCTGGGGAGACATGTTGCTCTCTCTCCGTCTTTCCCGTTTCTTTTATTTACAATGTATATATATACAGAAGTCAAAATTCAAGAACCAATCATCTGTGAAATGAGTTAGTTCTTCATTGCTTTGAGAGACATACAAAAATGAACTTTATAAAACTGACTTGTTCATGTGTCTCTTCATGTGCCACTCAGAAAAATGAAATGCATATCATCACTTTTTTACTTACTTCTTATGGTAATGTAGAAAAATGGGACATCACAGATATTAGCAGGGACTCTTATATCAGTTCTTTGGAGAAATTCAGAGTTAGGTCAATAGAAAGGTTGTCATTTGAGCACTGGTAAGGCCTTATATTCTGGAAGACCAGATCAGGAAGCATCCTTCTGGTCGGACCTGCACCCAGGGTCTTAAATCTATGGGCAGACCGTGTGGTCGACAAATACTAAGTGCAGTGTGCATTGTTTTCAAGTCATTAAATACAGTGCAGGTGGAATTATAGTACAGTTGGGCAATGTGGGCTAAAGAGGAAATTCATGTGTACAGTAGAGAGAACATTCCAAGTTGTATATCCATTTTGTATCACTAAGAGAGTCGGGACAGTCCAATATGATTGTCTTACAAATTTGATGTACAGTTAAAACCATACGAAAGGGAACAAGGATTTTTTAACAAAAATGTGTACATGAAAGTAACTAAATACATGTCTTAATGGAGCAGTGTCCATTTACAACTCTTAATGGAAGGGTGTTTGAAAGTGTTTTGTAAAAGCAACACTTCCATGCAACATTCCGACCCATATATTTCAGGTACATGTGGTTCGTACCTCGTCTTGCACAAACTTTCGGTTTTGTTTTCTGCCTTCTTGGGTACATTTGTGGAAAAAGACCCAGTATGCAGGCTGACAAAATGCTGCAGCAACCATTTGTGATGGCCATGATATTTGATATAACAGGTTCGTGCTCTCATTGTTGAATTTCAGGTTCTCTGTCTTGCTGTGGCCATTGGCCATGTTGAAATGAGCGAGGATGAACTTGTGGCAAATGTCTATCTTGCCGTCAATTTCCTGGTCTCCCTTTTGAAGAAGAACTGGCAGAACGTGCGAGCGCTCTATATCAAGAGCACAATGGGAAAACCTCAGCGTCTGTATTAGAGTTTTGCTTTGTGCAGTAAATAAAAGTGCAGTGAAATGCACATTTGTGACCCATACATGACGGTCTCATCTTTGAAGTTATACATGTATTTACATGCTGTTTCTAAAGAAACAATTTTTTTAAAATCTGTTTATGTATTTCATTTTTATTTATTTATTTATTCTTTAGTAAGTATGAGTTGATAAAGGTAAACTGGCTGCTGTAACAAGTTTGAAAGGCTTCTTAGTGTTTGCTCCAATGGACGCTAAGTGTCTGGTGTTCTAGTAAAGAAAGTGAGGGAAAAAACGGCAACAAAAACCGTTAGTAATGAACTACCGGTAAAAGCCGTTGTTACATCATACTACATACTGTCAGAAAATTAATACAAGGCAAAAATATACTAAAACAGTATTATGATAATAAACTCAAGTTGAGGTATCTAGCCAGTGGAACATGTGTGACCCTGTGCCTCACTAGGGGTCTGTAGGGGACCATTTCTTCCCGGACACCTTCTAGAAAGCTTTACTACAGACTAACAGTACATGTTCTTACTGACTTCAAAAGGTTTTGAAAGCGCCACGAAAATTGCGTGTTGCTATGACCGTTATAGTTTGTCAATTTTGCGGCGCGGTCACCCCCCNGCACTGTGAACTGAAAGTTGTTCTAACTTTGTTCTATTTTTGTTTTTATTTTGTCCGCGCATGACTAAAATGAAAACTCCTACACTAAGATCCGCAATGACTATTACGACAGAAAAGAGAAACTTGATACTTAGGTTCGCTCGCAACACCCAGTATCTGAGCTCTGACTACAGTCCAACCGCTCCCCCAATAATATTAAAGACAAAGAATATGTTTATGTACAATTCCACAACACCCTTACTGAGACAACGAAAGGTGCTTTTGCACATAGGTCGCAATACCCCATACTGAAAAAAAAATTGTTTATACATAGATCAGCAATACCAAAACTGATAAAACAAAACAAAGAACAGAAGCTGTGCATACATAAGTCTACAGCACAGCACACTAGGAAAGGTGCTTTTATACATAGGTCGCAATACTCCATAATGAAAAAAAAAACAAAAAAAAACTGGCTATTTGTACATAAGTCAGCAATGCCAAAACTGATTACACACAAAAACGAAGCTGTGCACACATGGGTCCACAGTACGCAGACTGACAAAAAATTGCTAGAAGTCCGCAAGATCTGAACTGACCTGTTTACACAAGTCCGCAACATCCCGGCGATAAACAAAGAAAGCTGTTTATACAAAGGTCTGCAGTATCCTTGCATCCTGAACGCTTGTAAGATTTTTCGAGCTTTTTCTTGCTTATTCTCGTGAGCGTCTTCAAGTTTGAATTAACGTGTAAAACTGAATTAGCTCGGAATCAGATGTAGTTGTGGGTGAACATAAAAACATAATTAGTACTCAGCGAAAACTGATTAAACCGAGGATTCCTGCTGTTTCTTTTACTTTTGATGCAGAAATCACATTGGCAAGGACGGTATGATACCCAGTGCGTTAATCGATACTGATGGTGTTGACTTGCGGTTTGTATTTGCGAAACCTATATGGAATGTAAAGGAAGTGCTCGAGAAGTCATATCTGGTAGCGGATGCGCTTCGGCTTCAGTTTTTTAACTGAATGCGTTCACGTTCCCAGTAACCACTATACTCATAGTTAATAGAGGGGAATGGTTATGAAACTCGACAAAGTTCTTTGTTGTATGTTTTTGTTCTCTTTTTCGGCCTTGACCGTTCACAAAACACAACAGTTGTTTACCGCTGACCGAGGAACTAACCAATAGAAATGTTTTGATTACGTAACTTATGCATAGTGTATGAACCCAAAACAAAGGATTGTGCACGGTCGTGGACCTTCCGCTATGCTATACTGATAACCAGACTAATAGAGATCCGTCGAATATAAAGTAGCTTTTATTCAAATTCAGTTGCACCTCAGCTTAAGTTACATTCAGTCACTCTTAGGCAGAACTGAATTAACGTTGTAGAGGAGTATCCTTTGTTAAGTTTTCAGTGCCGATGAAAGGAAAACTGATTGGTATAAAGTTGGGAAGGAAATCTCGGTCGTCAGAGCAGGTTCAACTCTATATCATTGTAGCCAATAATATTAGCAAGTCGTGACTCGAATAATTTTTAAGGCTTTAAAAGTAGACGCGTGGGCAAATAGCAAAAGATCAATTGAATGACCTTGGCGTCTTTGCACCAATCATTTACAAAAATCACTTGCTGTGTCTCCAGTCTAAGCCATTCTACATTTCCTCCAAAACCCAAGTAAATGTGCGAGTAGGCGTAGTATCCAAATGCATTTTGCTAAAAATAAATATCCTTAGCGGTTCAGTGGTCGTTATATTAGACAGATAATTGTTACTGATAAGAGCTTGAGGTAAAAATAAAACCCACTAAGGAATAAAATTAATTGACCATTGCTCAATCAATTTTGACATATATAAACAATAGCCTCCATCTGGTTCGAAAATACGCTCGGATATTTGTCCGCAGACATTGTCAAGATCTGTGGCGAGAAGCGAACACTTTAAAGAGCTTAGCTTGAGGAAAACTATCAGCTTTGAGCAACAGATAATGTCCAAGGACAAATATCCGAATGTTTTTCGCATTTTGCTCCAAATGGCAGCTACGGTGTTCATTTTGCAACACGCGCAGTTTTGAAAATTGGGGAATATCACTCGAATTTTCCCCAGTTATAGCTGGAGCCGTGTTTAGTTACGTGAGCGTTTAGACCAATCACGCGCGAGCGAAAATATTTGATGGATTATAATTATATATCCATATCATTGCGGTGTTTCCTCCTCCTGTGATTGTCTATTTTCGGAACTGTTTTATTGTAAAAATGTCAGCATTTTAGAGGTTTCAATTACCCAAACTGCGCTTTTAGATATCAGTGAAACTGGTGTAGTAACCAGCTGGTTGTATTTCCTGCGTTGCGAAATTCAGTCCCGTAGCCTCTTTTGTTCACTCAGTGTAGTTGAAACCTACATCACAAACAAGCGACGAATTCTCAAACGCAAAACGTAAACACCAACAACAGCAGTTGAATAAAATCTTGTTACCCTTTTATTTCGGAGTGCTTTGCCTTTGCACCAAACAGCAGGGCTGTACATGTAGCCAGCATGAGGCAAACCGAAGCACTTGCCTAGGTAATTTTTTTTCGTCAGTTCTGTCGTTTCTGTTTTGAAGAGGAAAAGTAAAACACTGCTAAATACCTCGGAGGAGAATTTAACAATGGACATTGCCTCAGTCATAGTGTTTGTTTCTGGCTACGGCCCAAGGCCTGAACAGGACTTTGTCAAACAAAAGCCGACTAGAGTTCTTTCGTTGTAGATCTCGGAAAGACAGTTGGCGGAGCACGTTCCGCTGAGGTGGAATGATACTTGACTAAGATTTTTCTAGTTTGTTCCGGGCTAGCTTCTAGTAAAGTTTATAGGAAAAAGGAAAAGAAGAATGCATGGTGGGATGACACATTTTGAAGCAGGACTTCCACTGCAGCAGGAATTAGTTCACTCGTGTGTGAATTTAAGCGCACGGTGTTTATAGCTTTATATTATAAAAAAAAAAAAAAAAACTGTTTGTCTTCGTCGGCGAGTAGTAAAGCAATTAGTGTTTTAGTTCAAGGTAAATTGACCACCGTAACGAGTTTGTGAAGGGACCATTTCACTAAATAAAGTTCTATACTCTTGAAAAAGTTAAAATTTTTGGTCTAAATGAAATGTTTCCTCCATCAAGGTATGATTTTCTTGCTCTGAGAACTGCAATTTGATTAATCGCAAGCATTTCTGTATGACCAATATTACATAAAAATCGCGGTGAATCAGTCCAGCTTTATTTATAACAGTTGTAAGTTGCCATTAAGAGCAAAACAGCGTTCGAGATATAGATAGCTTGCTGTCATCTTCTGCCCTTAAATTCCCACCAGCTACGCAAGCCGCCCAACGGGCTAACCTCCCGCTACTAAAATTAGTAAGAGAATGGAAGTGGCCGGAAAGGCGACGAGCAAATTAAAATCAACAGTTTAGTTTAGTTGAAGGGAACTGACTCGAATGAATCTAATCAAAGCACAGCAATTTCATTTGTATGAAGGATTGATCTCTACTGCGAAGTAACAAAAAACGGAGGTTGGGCTGAAGTTTTCCTTTTCCTTTCCAAAAATTAATTTAGCCGTTCTTACATGTAACATCCTTGTTTTTTAGCTTGAACTTCTCCGTGTAAACTGCTATTTTTACTCTTTCTATACCTTTTTTAAAGGTGCTTATTACGTGACAGACTGTCAGTTGGCTATTTAACAGTTAAAAGACGTTTTCCATAAAGCTGAATTAACAAAAATGGAAACATAGATTACAGACATCAAACAAAGAGGCAATACTGATTTCTGAGTTAGAAGAGATGCGAAACGGTTTTTTTTTTTGCTAGTATTTATGTTTTTAATATTATATTACGTAAGGGCAAAACACTTGCAAACAAGGATTCGTTTGTTATTCCTTTGAAAAAAATCCCTTGGTATTCATTATTAATGCATTTTAACCTTGATACAACGCAATCGGAATCAGATTTATAAACATACAGGTACTTGACGCCATGCGAGCGACATAGTGTCTCGTAACAAACCACAACTGAAGATAAGACAAAGAAACGCAGTCCCTTTGTGAGGCCGTTCAATTCCTTTCTAACTGCATACATGTATGTAAATAACATGTTTGTGCATGTAAATTTAATGTTTGTTATTAAATAGAATCTTCCGTCTGGGAGCTCGGATATCAGTCAAATTCATATATCTGTTGGGGGAACGCAAAATGCTCTCGATTCTGAAAACCGGCGCCTTGGAAACAAGCAGGTCGTCGCTGGTTCACCTATTTGATGAAGTTTATGTGCAAGTTTCTCTCTTATAATTAGTTTTATGTACGCCAGGATAATTTGGTTCATTATTAAGATTATAGTCCTCATAGCGTCGGGATAATTTGTTGATTATTTCTTGAATACCATTTACTGACTTGAGTCGGCTTTAAAGTCTTTAAGTCCGCGCTTCGACTCTTTTCTCTTACTGGTTGATACTGTATAATTGTAAGTTATAATCCTTGCAGCCTGCAACGAATAAAAGACTGAAAACAGGTATATTTCTGTTGTTGTTTTAGCAAGACTCCTCGTAACTCACGAACCTATTTCCCATCTCATCTCAGTCGTTTCGGCTCTCTACCGAACTTAGCTAACGGAAATTGAAAGTTGCTCGTGGTAACCTTTTTTGTTCTGAGCAATCAAGTGTAATTTCACAAGTTCAATGAAATTTATCATGCAGATAACGACGGTTTGATTATTTGCAGCGAGTCTTTGTTCCATGCATTTCCACCAATTTGGGAAAGTGTCTTTGAGTCCCGTTCTAAATAGAACTTGTTCCTCTTTTGTAATCCAAAAGGAACATTGTTTCGTTTATGTTCAACAAAGCCTTGTATAGGATTACACTTTATGCCGGATTCGGAACTGTCGGAAGCACAGATGTACATGCTTTTAGTGACTTTTAATTTGAACTTACTAACGAATGGAAGTAACTTGAATAGATTGAGTAAGTATGTGCTTCCTGGTGCTAAAGAGCGAATACAAATTAATCACAATTTTATTTTACATCAGGTTTAGTGAGAAAAAAACCCCAGCCTTTTTCGTGGTTTATAGGGACACTCAAATGACAGTTTTTGACTGATTAAGTAGGAAAAGAACTTAAAACATACAGATTTCATGTACAAAGCAAGGTTTGCTAGAAACTCGGTGCCAGCCCAAAAACTTGGCCGTTACTTGTATGCCCAGGTGTAATGTTTTACCAACGGCGGTTGACGCGTATAAAACAACAACAACAACAAAAAAAAGACTGCTCGTAAACTTCGTTTTTGGCTTCATGAGAAGCCATCTTCTGCCTTCATAACTTAAGAAGCCCATTTATTTACCGCTTTTCACTAATCAGACCAAAAATATCGCTATTTCAAGTTTGTTTACTTCTAACGGGTTGTGGTTTATTAAAAGAGTGAGTATTTGCAAGACCCAAGAGGTTTTATAAAGTACTTTCACAGTAGATCTTCTTTTTGCTGTAACGATTTTCGAAGTAGCCAGTTGAACGACTTGGATTTTATCCTGAGTAATTTTTTGTACAGTGAAATTATGGCACGAGCGTAGATGATCAGTTCTCCTTTGCAAGGAAAATTGTGATTTGCGGATAATTCTTGCTAATGATAGCAGTTGTACCGTTTCTGGCTTTCTGATATGTTCATACGGCACCTTATGTTGTCAGTCCATAATATGTTTGTCCTTGCGAAAAGCCTTTTTAAGAAGTTACTTTCGCTATGACGCCAAATTTCAGAGATTACCTAAGAAAAATCAGTTTCCTTTCTAAAACAAAACTAGTCATGGCATGGATAAGAAATGAAGAAGCAAAGATAAGTAAAACCTATTAACAGAAAAAAGGAAAACAAAGATATCGACTTCAGCAGTCAAACCATACATAATCTCATGTGCGTGACACTGCCGCGTTGTACGCCCGCATAACTTCTCGCATCCCTTTTTTCTCGGCTTTAATTATACATTAGGCAGTTAGTTTTCAGTTACCCTTTTTTGGCTTTCTAAAGTTTCGGGTTTACTTTAGTAAGCTGGTAACCTGGGAGCGCACCAGGTCATTGTCCAGGCAAGCGCCTTACTTCATTTCGTTTCTTGTTCATCGAACTTCTCAATCCCTCAGTGAGGCAATTACGCCATGTTATCAAGAAACATGACAGAACTTGAGAGTTACATCAGCTTATATCTAGGGTGACCGATTTTGCTGTTCTATTTGCGGGGAAAACACTGAATTGTAAGCCATCAAGTTGTTGTTCAGAGGCAAAAGTAGTTCTCCTGACAAATAGCGAGCAAGATAAATATGCAAATGAAGCTAAAGGGCTAGCTTAAAGATTGTTATTGAACTGTGATTTCAGACGTACAAAAAGAACTTTGAAAGCCATCAGACAAAATTCATTTGAGGAATCTCACCGGGGTGCAAGAAAGGGCCGACAATATTAAAGATGGAGAGAGGGTTAGATGAAAGCAGCCGCTAAAAGTTAACAATCAATCTTTTTCTATCCGCAGATTTCATCTTTGTGAAACTGTAACTAATCGAAAAATACATACATGTTGTCAAGTAAGATGTCACAATTTGTTAGCCCATTGTGTTTACTTTCTTTTTTCAGTTTGACGGGGCTAAGGCTTTTTTTAATTGCATGGTTTCCGCAGGACCTTATGATTTCTCGTATCCTAGAGATAAAAAACGTGTAGTGCCTTCTAGCAAATTTCCTAATTACTATCTTTCTTGAGGATTCTGTCATGGAATAAGACATCTAAATCACAACGAGTTTTTGTCTCAGCCTCGTGATTTTGTTTTCCTCTGAAGACGACCCAATCCGAAAACTTCGCAATCCCTGAAAAGGATTCTGATATTTTTAGCCTGAGAATAAATTCTGGAAGTTTTTATTTTCGAACCAGTTTAACTTGCAACCGAATCAACGCATAAATGAATGGCTGTAGGTATATAAGAACACCTTTACTGCAGTCTGTTTTTAAGATCGTCCACTAGTATTACTGCATTCAGACAAAATAAAGAGAGATCTTATATAAATCTCGTATTTAATATTGCGGTCCCCGTATGATGTGTTTATAGATTAGTTTCTTTAGGAAAGAAGCCATATGAGGACCAGGCCAGCAAGATCGCGATAACATCTTAGCCAAATGTAACAGAAATATTCATTGATTTTCATTATGGTGACCGAAGGTTCATTGTCACGTGTAAATGAAAACGCCGGCTCTTGAGCTCCCAAACGCAGCGCCAAGCGGTATGGAGTCATGGATTTATAATTAAAACCGCAAGCCATGCCTTAAAGGTTTGCTTCAAGACTTTAAGAACAAGACCTCGGATTAACATGGGACAGGATGAAACTCGGTGTAGACCAAGTCAACACCGAATTACGAACATGAAAGTAAATTGGATATCCTTGTTAGCCCCCGGTTACGGTAGGCGGAAGAGCTAACGATACTGTTTCCTTCGACTTCACTTTAATGAAAGATAGAAAAGCAATAAAGATCTGTTACTAAGATAGGACACACTGGGCAATGCTGTGATAAAACTTTTAGCTAAAATTAGAAAAGTGCAATAGAGTGGAGCTCAACTCAATCTGAATCCGCGGGGTGCATTTTGATCAGCAAAAGCGAGGGTGTACCGTTGTAATTGGACCTCGGGGTTTGTCAAAGTCAGAGTCGTCGTCTCGGCTACCAGAAATTGGACCTAGAGTTCGTGCCACCCCCAAAACAATTTTTTCTTTTCTGGGGACGTGAAATGATCAGAAACGTGTCTGTTGGGGAATGGACGTGTTCAATTAATATCAATTGCCGTCAGCTATGTCAGTGAATAAATTACAGATCACGGAGATAAACACGTACAGCAGCTGGAAAATCTCTGCTGATCATAGTTATGAAATCCACATGATTTTGTTTATTCTAATCCTGTTTTGCCGCTTGGCGCACTGAGATTGCTAAATATTTTATTTTTCAAATTGTTCAATTGCCCTCCCCTTGTGCTAGCGGTGGAGAACTCAGGAAATGTCATTCCGTTTACTTTTTGGTTGATACATCTTTCTCCCCGTGTATTAAGAATTTTTCTGAATAATGCCAATTGAACTGATCTTTCATTAACCACAACAGAGAGACCTTCGGCAAGAACCGAGAGTTGACATTTATTTACCGGCGACTGAAGCTGTGTATTTTTTTTTTTTTTTTTTTTAATTCTATGAGAACAGGGCTGTATTCCTCTAAAGCTGTTGGTGTAATTTGTAAAAACACTGAGTTCTTATAAATCGTGTCGAAATTCTTTGTTCCAGTTCAAATTTATGTTGCTGGCACATGGGTGGGCACTTTATATGTAGACCTTGAAGTAAGATACCTTAAACTATTTTTACTGTTCATGATGTACTTCTATGTTAGTCTGGTTTATAAATATTTAACTGCTCTGGTCGAGTTTTTAATTTCAATATGATTAAAAGTTCTTTTTATGCGTTGCTGTTAAAAATGATGCAAAGTTGTCAATTTTAGTAATTCAATTTGAAGAAAATGTCCTGTTAGTACCTTCTTGTTACTTGATCAAAATTTTGCGGGGTTTGTTTTAC